TTGGTTGCTTTTAAACAAAGGAAATAATTATGGTGGGTTTCGAGTTTCGACCCCGATTTTAGGTTGGTTTTAATTTTTTTGGGCTTATGCTTAATACTTAATAGTAGGCTAATGGCTTTTGGTTGTACTGACTCAACTACTAATATGTTTTATGGAACATCGTAAAATTAGCCCATTGGGTTCGGGTGGGATTTAGACATGGTTTCGAGTTTAGGACCGCAAATCCCCTGCTCTTACCTATGCCAGTTCTTATGGTAATACGAAAAAACGGAAAAATAAGAATGTTTAGTATTAAAAGTATTAAAATATTTAATAATAGTTATATGATAAGGTATAATGTAGACTTTAATTTTATTAAATTTATCATGTAACTATTATTAGACATCTTAACAATTTTAATGTTAGAACGTCCTAAGTTTTTTTTTTCTCTCTTTTATTCTTATTTGTTTTCTTATAAAAGGAAAAATAGAAAGAAAAAAGGAAAACCTATAAGAGTTTAGCTAATTTAGTACTCATTAACTTAAAAATTTTAACTTAGATTAAAGTTAAAGATTTAAACTTATATTATAAAAAAATTCAAAAAAAAATCAAAAAGAAAAAAAAATTCAAACCAAAAAAAAAAAAAAAATATATGCAAAATGAAAATTTCAAATATAAGTTCAAACTGGCGAGTGGCTTGAGGGGAGGGGAGCAAAGACAATTCCTCTACCAAAGAAATTTAAATTGAAGGAAAGGGAAGTCATTTGCTTTAGTTTTTATTTTTAATTCTTTCACTTATCCAAATGAGAGGAAAAATCTATTCATTTTCTCAAACTAAACATACCCTTAAAAAAGAAATATATATTAATCATATGCTCTAAAAGAAATTTGGAATCCAACAAAATTTTAAATTACTTTATTTAAATAAACAGGCACTGAAAATTATTAAAATAACATATTTTTATATTATTGTAGATGTTGTCTTTGAATAACCTATTTATCTCATGAACTATTAACAGGTTAGGCCAAATGAGGTAGCTCCTAGCTAGACCACAACAATGGTCATCAACCAATTGAGTCTTGCTATGCTTCCAATTCCAACAACATTTGCAAAGCTATTGTTGGTCTTCCTCTTGGTGATCCATCCATGACAAATCCATCACAAACTTGTACAATCTATTGGGTGAGGATGAGGAGAATTGTGCAAATACATGTGGTATAGTGTATAGAGCATATTCTTCTAATCGTAATTGCAAGTGAAAGCTTTTTAAAACATTTGATATTTTCTTTGTGGCTATTGAAGATATTTTAATTATTCAAATTCTTATTCTTACTAAATTTTATGTTACACGAAGGGCCTGGTTTCTCTTTGATCCAACAACTTATTGGAAGAGCATTGGGTATTTTAAGCACTTTTGTTCATGGATATGATAAGCCAGGTTAGATTTTGCCTCAATTGCCTTGATGCTCATATCTATGTTCCTCCCCTTCAAAACACACAAACAAACACACACAAATCTCAATAACACATTAACATAACTAGCTAGTTGTTGTAATGATTTGGTAGAAATGTGAAAGCTCAACTAAAATCAATGCTAAAGGAAGAAGGTTTTTTTGATAATCAAAGTGCAGGTTAGTTTTCTTGGATTGGTTTGATGGTTATGTACCCTTAGTCCTACCCCATTAGTATTATTT